AGAAACCATTTCCTGGCTTGCTTAAAAACACCCAGGTAGGTTGCTAGTCTGTTAGTGTAGAGATCTTTCAGTTTCGGGAGCGAGCTTGGCTGAGAGACTAACAAGTTAACTTTTTCCCTTACCTTCTTTAACTGTGCCAGAGTTAGCAGCAGAGGAGCTGGATATGGCATCGCTGAGACGCTTACTAACGTAGAAACGTGGGACGTTTTAATGCAGACGGAAGGAGACTGTGACTGCCCTATGTACAGCTAGCCAAAATCCTCATCAACTAGCCAGCAACACCTGCCAGCATCCAGGAATCTTGTCAGCCTCACACTTGCAGTCCCCAGGTCATCGAGGGACAATGAAATGGGCTGGTCCAAGAAAGCTAATCTCTTCTGCTTTCCCAAAAAGCCTAATGGAAGTGGAAGCATTCGTGTAGGTATAGTTCAGAAAGGATGGGAAAAGAAGGGATGGCAAGGCAAGGCAGGGCAATAAGGGAGAATACTCAAAATCAATTACACATCTCTGACTTTGGAATTTGCTGTGAAAAAAAAAATCTTACTTTTAGATTTGTTCTTCAACAACCACCTTTACCTTTATAAAAGAAATCACCTTTTCTTTTTTTCCCCTCACGATAACACACACGTATATGTTAAGCCAGAAGTATTTCTTTCTCCAAATGCCTGTTTAAATACTTCCTATTTGTTAAAAAATGTATCATCAGGATACCTAAGTTTCTAAACACCATTTATCAAGTGAAGGAGATTTGAGACAAAACCAGCTGGATTACCCCCACATTTTTGTAGTTAGGGGAATAATATGTTTTGTTCCATCAATGTGTCCACTTTACATTATTCAGCACAAAGCTTGGTGAAATAAGAATCATGGGAATATCACAATATAGAGGAAAAAGGTACAAATAACAGCTTCATAAACTGAGAAATGTACATAAATAAATCATGTAGATGGGGGCAGTTTGCTTAGCTGGCAAGAAAAAAAAATATGGAAAATCTGCTTGTTAAACAATAACCACAGAGTGTGCTTTTATGATGTTTTTCACCACTGTAATTCATATTAGAGATAGAAGCAGTTGCATGTTAAATAAAATCATTCAGCATTGTTCTCCTCACATTACAAAGAGCTGACTTATGTTGTTTTTAGATGCCTCCCATTAGAAAGTAAATATTCCTCTGATGTTATACATTTCAGAAAATTTAATAAAGATGAACTGTAAATAAAGTCACAGGGAGATTTCAGACAGTTTTATTAGCAGATTGTTGAAAAGAAAAGAAAATTAAATACAATAACAGTAAACGTGGTTCTCACATTGAAACCAGGCTCAAATAACTAGGCTACCATAGAAAAATTTCCAATTCTTGCATTATGATGTAAAAACAGATTTTTGTACAGATTTTGTACAACAAAATTCGTAATAACCTTTTTTCATTTTTAGAAAACTTTAAATATATAGATAAAAATAGACAATTTTCATAGGTCCTACATGAAGATGAGTATGTTCTGTTCCAAGGGCTTGCATAGAGCGCAAATGTGGTTATAATATAGAACAACTAGACATTAATAACTTTAAGATTACAAAAGCATATAAACAATAACATGAGCACAACTTTTCTTCATAATCTATGCCAAAAAGAAAAAAAAAATCAAAATCAAAAACCAAAACCAAAATACCAACCCAAAACCTGTATAACTAAAGAGGGGCAAAAAATTCAACTTACGGTAACATCTCATGGTCTTTAATATTTACACTGTTTTTAGCAAGAGTCTTTCTAAACATCCAGCTTATAAATTGGTTCCCCCTTAATCCTTAACATTTCCATTTATGTACCAAGCCAAACACTGAGGCATTCCCAAAGGTCTTGAAAGTATACACTGTAAAACTACTAAACCTACTTACAGGTGACTCTATGCAAGGAGCAGAGCAATGGTAGATGCTACTACATATTTCAGTTGTAGGCTTTTAATTCTCTTTCAGATATGAATGATTCAAAAGCTTGCCAAAAGTCCATCTAACTTTACAGCTGTTAACCCTTTAAAGACTGCATATGAAAAAACTGGAGTACAGAATCCCGTATGTGTTCAAGCAACTATGAAAATTACGAAAGAATTGTGGTTAGAAAATAATGTCACTACAAAGTATTAGGTAACAATATTTAATGAAAAATATTGCTCAATATTTCTTTAAAAAAAATTACCGTGATGTGAACTTGTATATACAGCTTTCTTTTGTTAAAAAAGGATTGTGGTGGAGTAAATATGAACTGCACAAAATAAATGTGTACCAGTATTGCAAGGAAGACCTACAAACTATAGAAGCTCAGTGCTAGAGTTTACAAAACATTAGATTTTTTTTTTTTGACAAAATAATACTAATATCCAATCAGAGCTATTTTTAAAGAAATATTCGCTTTAAGTTAGGCATCTTAGACATTTAAGGTTTTGATATGTTTCCATGTAATAAATAATATTTTATATGCATAAAACATTAGATGAAGAAAGCATAATCACACAACGTACAGTAATAGCACTGATTCACAAAATCAGTCTTTAAAGGGGTAACCCAAAAGTACGCAAAGCAAAGAACATAACTTTTAGTAATGTAATAAGCACTGTGTTGCAGCTTACTTCCAGTTATCAGCACAAAGGTGAAAACACAGATTGTAGCGTTCATAAAGACAGTGAAAGTAACACATAACCACCCATCCCTAAGACAAGGTGGGAGGGACAATAGACTTCAACTGTATCACTCAGTTCTACGTGGAATTGGACTGATACATCAAGTGTTTGTTAGGTTTTCTTTTTTTAGCAACATTGACGTAATATGACATTAACATATAAAAATATTTCTGGCATTTTGACTTGCTGCTCAGCCACAATCCATTCTTAAAAGTGCACTAATCAGGGCACTAACCAGGGCTCAATATACAAATAAAAGTGGCTGATACAGAATTCTGACTTGTTACCAGATGCTTAAGATCTCATTCAGTAATACTGTGACTCCAGGACAAATATTTACATGCCTGCATGCGTTAAAACTAGAAAGGTGTCTTTCTGACCAACAGAGTGACAAAACAATATTATCTAAAATTTTCATTTCCTAAACTCTAGATTTCTACTGCATACATAATACCTTCCTTGTGTGATTTGTGTTATATACTGTACATGTGACCAAGAGTTTGATAAGAAGCAAAGTTTTTTATTTCATAAACCCCTGCCAGTTTACAATGAGAAATTATTACTCTTTTTATCGTATTTTTTTATTTTAGGAAAGAGACTTTGTGAACAGTAAAACAGTTTGTTTACATTCAGTATTTGTTTTCACTTACACAAAATTCCATTTCACTTAATGTAGTCTAACATACATGTGTTGGTCTCTCGGAAAGCATGTGGAAAAAATGTCTTTAGAAGAAAACCCACGATCATAGTTTGAAAACTGAATGTATCAATTTTTTTTCTTTTACCTTTTTTTTTTTCTTTTTTTTTTTAAATAAGAATCCTCTTATGCCCTCTACAAGTTCATTTCTGAGCTGTCTTGCTGGTTTCGGTATGATATAACAGTCTGTGAGTGTACTTGGACACCGCTGGAAGGATCATTTGATGTGCTCAAATATAGAATCATCAGAGGAGGACAGAGTCTGCATTCCTTGAAAAAGGGAATACTCAGCCTTGTTCTGACCCGCCTGTAATTTTGGATACAATAGTCCGGCGCAGAGACGCAGATTTTCACTGTAAGAAGAGTGCTACTGTACATTTACAAACATTCTCTAGGTCTCCAAGTTGAGCCACAGGAGATAACCAAAGGAGGACACTCTTGCAGAATTCTTTACATTTTTGAAGAACATTGATAAATGAAGTTGAAGAAGTTGCCCTGAAAACGCTTTGTTTCCACAGAACTCCTTATGAGCGAATGTCTT